TATGTACATGTAGCACTTCCCTTCAATTAAATAAATGGGAAAACAATGCAATAATTAATATGAGTCCCTCAACTTTGGTATAATTTGTAAATTAGACCCTTATGATACCACGTTCACCGTCTAGTCCCAACAAATGCAATTTGCTCATAATAGTCCCCACGAAATTATTTTACTTAATTTAAGTCCTCATTTGACTCTGACTTTGACTATAATGAGTGGGGCGTAACATTATAGGTCTCATAACTTTTCAATCACACATTTCATCAATTTTTATCAAAATTTATTAAAAAATTGATTTTAATCCTCCACCGAACAATGACTAAGTATCTATGCTATGAAAAAGAGAGCTTAAGCTAAACCCTTTACGATATTTTGACTTGAAAACAGCCATTGCAGCAAGAGACCCAGAGCCCATCGTAGCAAATGGGAATGTGTCCATTGAACCATGTGGATATATCTGGGAAGTCATTCAACAATATTATACCTCATATGTGAAAATATAGAAAGCAATATTTTGACAAATCCTGCAAGTCAAAAATAACTCACGGTGTGTAAAGCAGCGAAGCATGCTCTGTGCTCATTCGCTGACCTAGAATGATGAGACTTCAACAATGAAAGAGAGGTAACCACCCTGGACTTGCGACCAGTATGATAGCGGTGTAGCTTTATCTGAGAACTGACCATATCTAGTAAAATAAATGCCATCAAGAAAATGGACATTTTCTCAAGTAAAAATCAGCCATGCAAATTTGTATATGTAAAAGGTTTGCAAGAAGTCGTCAATAACACCAGTTACTGCCTTTGTATCTGCTGCAGTTCCAGCTCCGTAGCAATAAATATTATTTAGGGACAATGTAATGAATCTATTCACAATTCTTATCTGCAACAATGGGTCCTGCAGTGGCTCGTGTATCCGCTCCAAGAATAACACCATCCTGCAGCATACAAGTTAATATAGAAGTGTGAGTTATCCTATGTATGTTAATAAACTGTTATGAACACTCAAACCACTTTTTATTCGCCAATTTCGAGGAATCCACAAGTGTTAACACACTTATCCAACACTCATTTCTATCTATTTATAATATAAATCGCTGATAAACACTTCCCAAACATACCTTAACATCAATAAATCCTTTTTATCGACCCCATGCAAGCATCCACAAAATGGGGAACAAAAAAGATATAGTATTATACATCCAGAATTCAGAATGCTTTCAATATCTTCAACTGGAGTTTAATTGACATACCTAGTTACTACCATCAATATATTGCTGTACGAAATTTACTTCAAATTTATTTTTTGTGTGATATTTTGTTTCTGAATGTCCTTTTTAAATTAACTAAAACAGAAAAAGAATACTGAAACTGCAGAAAGGGATAGTTTACGGACACCAAAATGCTAAATTTTTTGGGTAATTATAGTCACACAACAATTTCTTACATTTGCACCACATTTTAATTACAAGAAATGTTTTCAATATTTGCTTGCTTTTGCTTTTATGTCCTCAACTTTTTTCTTGTGGCATTGCCATTCTTAACCTTCAACTAGTTAATATATTTTATCTCTAATCACGATTTTTATCCAAATATTCTACTAACTGCATTGAAAAGATGGGCAAATATTTGTTTAATTTTTGCATTAGTTATTGTTGGAATTTGATGCCATTTGTGATATTAGTTTCTAACACTTTGGGCTATGATG